AAACTATAGGATTTGGCTTTGTGATAGAATTATTTGATAATGCTGTTGCAGAATAGAATTAAAAAAAAAAATCATAGCAGACTGCAGGGCCTGGATTGCTTACCCAAGTGCACAGTAGATTAAGATAACCTCAATTTAAGTATATCTGCATTTCAGAATACAATTGATGACTGCAGGTTGTGTGTGTGTGCGTGCTCAAATTAATGTTTGCAAGTAAATACTTTAAAAAAATGTCTTTTATTATTATTGTTCTCAGATGGAAATCAGTTCTCATCTTTCTACTGTCTACTTGTCTTTATTAAGGATAAACTTAATTCTTGAATGCCTCAAAATTCTCTGATGAATTTCCACAAATACCAAATCCATCTAAACAACTGATTAACTAACTCTTTGGATTCAAAATGTCAGGTACGAAAAATAGATGGACAATCCACATGCTCCCTCCCTGTCATTCAAATGACAAATACTTGACAGGAAAGAGTACGTTGTGTGCTCTTTACAAGGAGTTTGATAATGAGAATAAGGGAGAGAAATGGTGTACGATAGTGGAAGAAAGTACAATAACAACACAGATTAGGAAAGACAAGTATTGCAGAGCCCACTCATGAATTGCCATAAAAAGTTTATTAATCTTGGGCAGCAACATTTAAAGTTAGGACTTTGGACAATATCTAGTATTAAAACCAATCCTGCAAACAGAAAAATGCAGGCAAGTTCTTGGGCTCACAACTGTTTCATTTTAGGTCCACAGAAGTATGGGTAAGTTACAGTCACTAGACAACACGAAAGCCACTATTACAGGCAGACTCCTATTTGGCAAAATTTTGGTCCTACCTTGATGATCAGAAATGCTGCACCACTCCAGTATGGAGCCTTCTAATTCTAAACCTGGCTGTCATTTCAGCAGCTTCACTAGCCTAGTATGTATTTGCCAGCTCCTGAAAGCAGAAGTAAATCAATTAATTAAATCTCTGAAGCTGCCAACAGGCTAAAGGTTGTCAACAGATCACTAAGCAGGAATCATGCTTATCACAGACACAAGCGGCCAGGCAGTCCTTACATTAACATAATTTCTTCAGCTGATGACTAGAATTGGTCTACATTAGCCTCTCATTAATCTACTCATAGGAATATACCACTTTATACAGTCTCTTTCAATCTGTACAGATTGGCTCCTTCAGTTGATAATGTTAATGCCCAAAAGAATATGCTCTATTTTCCACTGGCTTTTCATCTACAGGTCTGTCACACAAACAGTACAAACCACATGCCTTATAACAATGAATTATAGGAACAAATACAAAACAGCACACCACAAAATGAAGAATTAAACACCATTAAACTAGATAATTTTCCTGAGAAAACTGAAAACACATTAAAGATTGAAGAACATTTAAAAACTGCAAAAAGTGATATTCCAGACATTCAGAGCAGCGTGGCAAGAAAAACAAAAGACCAGCAGATCAGAAAGGACACAAAAGATCAAAAATATTCATATAAGGGACTGGAGGAAGCTTCAGGGGAGCATCATTTTTCTCCCCAGTTTTCAAATTTCGAGCAGAAACTTAAACATGCAGCACCTGTGTCCATAAACCACAGCATTACATGTTTGTATTTCCTTATGTTGAGGCGAAACAGAGGAGAAATCATCTTCATGTGTGAAAGTTTAACCATTAGTTGTTAATAATAATGTTACAGTCTAGGGAACCTGAGAAACCTTCCACCTTGTTTCTGGGATATTTGAAACTATGCAAACTTACAAAGTAACTAATTCACAGATAATTCAAAAAGGTGAAACAAAATTACAGAACATGTAAACCTTAAGAAATCTTAGGAAAATAATGTACAAAAGGGAAAACTACTGTTCCTATTGCTTCAACTGACAAACAGCTCGCTACCGCTGGGCTTCCAAAATACTTGAATTTCCAGTATACTGTCTCCTAGTCCTGATGGTTGTCCATTTTCATATCTGAATTTCTGTCTTACCACTTAAAAAAATATCATAACCTAGGTTTGGAATGCCCCACATTTGTTAATATTGTATTACACAGCACAGAATACAACTAAGCAACAAAAGGAGGATATTCCATACTATACTACAGCAGCAATACGATACAGTAAACATAATGGAATAGTGAGTCTCACTGAGTCAACATGTGATTCCAATCTTTATTTGTCCTTCTACAAATTAAATGTAGATGAAGCAAAGTGTAACACAAGACTCAGATGTGAGAAAGATCTTACAAGAAGAGGGCTAATGTTTATTCCTAGCTCACTCTTTCGAAAGTCCTAGGTTGGTATGACTAGGGGCTTGGAAAGTCAGCACTCTTCCATAAAATGTGACATTTCCAACTGTGGTGTGGTTAATAGTTACACTTCAGAGGGCTGTACTTTATATTTACTTGAATCTTACAGCAATTCTGATGATGTCATCTTAACAATCTCAGTTTGCAAGAGGATGTGGATTTCTATAAAACAGAGAAAATGGACTTTTTTTTTTAAGGTCAATGGATCAACTGCTTAGTAGACTTAAGCAACCACAGTACTTTGATGTCCAAATCAGAAAAAAATGTCAGTAACAGAATGAATGTAGCACCATGCCTCGGGGAATTCATGCATCCAGTCAGATTTGCCAAAAAATTAAGCTTGTGAAAAGTAGTAAGTACGCCTTATTTCATGCATCAGTTGCAATAACTGTTTTTTTTCATTACATTTCTATATTTCTGCTGCACTAAAAATATCTCCATGGGAGATAAGAGAAGTAAGTGCTAGAACAACCAGATGGCACTTGCTTATATTTATAACATTCATGTCTGGTGATAAACTCTACATAATATAATAAAAGATTAAGCAATGCCGGCACTTTAGTGAGGAATAGAGGTTTAAAATTAATTTTTTGAGCTTATACAGTAACCTTAGCTAGTGCTTTAAGACATTAAGCTGGATAATGCTAGATGTTGTCTTCAACTTGCAAAATGTTGGCCTTGCGTAAACTGCAACTTAAGTCCCTGATTCTAGGTATATTCACACATACACGTAACTGTTGGCATAAAAATAGTTCCATTATTACAAAAGTATCTTTTTCAGAATCAAGGTTTATTCAAGACTATTTGCCCTTCTACCTTACCCTCGTGCAGCTAAGAATGTTTACCAAATAATCCCCCTTTGTGTCTTGGTTCTGTTCCTGCAATGGTTAAAGTAATTCCTCTGCATGCTGTGAGATTTTATTTTTTCACCCTCCTCTAGGAGATTTTCACATATAAACTAAAAGACACAATGGATTCTTTGGCTTCACTTACGAAGGAAAGACTACCCAAAACCAATGCCAGACCTGGCTGAAGGGATCTCAGATCCTCAGCCACTGCAGAAAACCCTTTTGTCACTGCCCTCTGGAAAGGTAAGAAGTAACTCCATCAACACTTCTACTCTCAAAACTAGTAATACCTAGAGTTCATTTGACTAATGGGGCAATACCTCTAATGCTGGCATTTACACCTGAGCCTGTTCCTCTTTCATAGTTAAGGGAACTCATGTCCATCTTCTCATCAGAAATTTATATCAGATAAACAGCACCCTAAACGGCACTTTTTTCTCTATTTGCTCTAAAAAGAGCTCTAGGTGACCAACACAGTGTCTACAGTATAACATCTAAAGGCAAATAAGATACCCAACATTTGGTTTCCTGTGCCAAACTTCCAACTGCTTAAGTATGTTATATGCCTTTTTCTGCAAGACTGAGGACCCCATTAAAAGATTTGTCCTCCATGAAAATATTTGCTCACTGTTACTGTGTTTCAACACAAAGACCATTAGGGTTCCTGGAGTTCTGGAAAACAATCTGGTGTTCATTGCCATAAACCCATTCTAGTTTTGTCAGCACTTCCTCTGTGCTTTTACACTACATAGACCACCCTCTGAAACAACTTGCTGCTAGTGGCCATACCAGTATCACATAGGGAAATTACAGAACTTCCCAAATGTTATCTGAAATTCCTCAGGTTATACAGGTGTTAATTAAATTATCCCTTTTGACTTCTGCAGTGCTCTGGGAGTGTATGCTTAGCTACAAACACATTAGGTAGGATTCCAAGTCTTTTTCAGAGCTACTGTCTTGCAGTAAGTTCCCTGTTGCTGTAAATATTTTGCATTTTCACACCTAGATGTGATTTCCAGTGAAGTGGCTCATCTATGCCTCACAGAAACACTGAGATACTGACATGTTTTACATCTCTGTAAGGTTCAGCAAATGATGCCCCATCCATTCTTTTCTTCCCACTTTATTTTCTACAATGCCCTCTGTCCACTCCCCTTCAACCCTTGCCTCGAGTCTACCAACTCAACTCTATCTCTTCCACTCCTGCTTGAACTGCTGCTCTCTTCACATGCAATGAAGGTAACACTTCCTCATTTAAGTGGGATAATTTTCCACTCATTGCTTTCCCATTTTTCCTTTTACCTCTCACCTATCCAAAAGATCGTTTTCAAATGCTACCTGTGAGCTTTTCCTCATTCCAAGCTCTGATCAGCTTGAAATCCACCTGAAGCACTTAACTCAAAACAGCTCTCAGAAATCCCTAATGATCTGTCTCCAACTGGAGCTCAAAGCCAATGCTCCTCTGATCCCCCTTTGACACTGCTACCTGCTTGCTATGTCAAAGGGCCTTTTTCTCCGTTTCCACTACCTTGACGACAACTGCCTATTTACAGCAGCCAAAACTTTTTAATACTTCCTCGATGCTCCTCATGGGACACCTGCGGTCCCCAGCAGAAGAACGGTTTTGGTAGAGGCAGCGAAGAGCCTCGGAAGAGCTCCAAACCCCGGTGACTTTCCTGCCGCCTTTTCCCCAGGCCTCCCTCACGGAGACTCCGGGGAAGGACGGGGAAGGACGGGGAAGCACGCCCTGGCCGACACTAACGCCAGGAAGCCGACAGCACCGGGCGCCAGGGACCCAACAGCCACCGCCCTCCCGCCTCGGGGGCTGCGCGGGCGGCGGCGGCAGCAGCGGCAGCAGCTCCGCCCCGCTGCGGGGCTGGCAGAGGCGGCTCCGTTCGGCGCTGTGACGCCGGCGGCGCCGGAACACCTGGAGGAGTGGTGGCAGTGCCTTCAGCTCGGCCCTGCCCTCCCGTTCGCAACGGGCAAGGTGAGTGCGGGAAGGGGGATCGCTGGACTCCGTACCGCATCCTGGCGGGGAAAACGGGCTCCGCCACCACCTGCTGCGGCCGGTGTCGGGTGGGCGCCGCCTCCCCAGTGGGCTGTACGCCCGTCTCTTGGGGCGACGGAGGCCGTGGGGCGGTCGGGCCTGAGGCGCTGGTGCCCGTCAGGGCTCGACAGTGGGTGTAGCCGGAGCTGGACATGTCCAGGGCTGAAATTTCCGAGGCACAAGATGGCATCTGCCCCTCTTTTTTGCCTTGCGTCTCCCCCTCCCGCCGTGCGGTTATCTCGCCATGATTATTGCATTTATCCGTTTCTGCCTCCCGTACATCCTCTCTGGCGCCGTGCCCGCTGGAAGCGGGGAGGTTGGAGAAGAAAACGGCCGCTTCTCCGCAGCGGTTTCCGGCTCGGCTCCGGCCTGAAGCGCAGGTTGTCAGGCTCTCGCCGGGGCCGTTCGCCAGGGCGCGGCCCTCGTTTGTACCTGAGGGCTTGGGGCCGGCCAATGAGAGGGGCGGCAGGGTGCCTGTGGTAATGCCATGTCAGTGACCGACGCAGGCATCGAGGCGTTAGTACCTGAGGGAATGGGTGTTGAAAACCCCCAAACTTCCCGTTTAAATGTTATATTTGTTGCAAAGGTTGATTTTAGTAATTGGATTTGTTCTGCATTTGTTCACTTGGTACATGGATGTTGTTTATATCCTGTAGTCGTTTAGAAGAAGAAATACCAAAATTACTTGAAATATCAGGTCGGTTTTTAGTAACAGAAAAGGATGAAGGGCACTGTGTTCTCCTAGTTATCGGTATCACTCTATATATGCTTAGCACCAAATGTAAATACGTCTCTTGTTCCATGCTGTTTTACTTAGTGCTGATAGCTTCAAGGTCCTGCATGGACCCTCTCAGAATAGTAATTTAGGTTTACTTTAGTTCAGATGTGTAAATGTGAAACTGACTCGGGTAATCTTGAGGGTACATCCTTTAACCTTTTAACCTCAAGTTACATTGTGCAGATATTTTGGAAGCTTGGCATTAAGTTGTTCTTTTGTTTTGTTGTTTGTAATATTTTGTCCCTGTCTGCAAGCCTCACTTTAAACCAAGGTGACCTTTTATTTCCAGGAAGCACCTTTTTGTTGGTTTTATGTTTGTTTTTTGTTTGTTTGTTGGGGGTTTTTTCTTTGTGTTTTTTGTTAGTTTGTTTTGGTTTGGGTTTTTTTTTTGTTGTTGTTGTTGTTTTTATTATTTTGGGGTTTTTTTTTGCTTGTTTCCCCACGTTTCTTTCTGTTATCGTCTTTCTTTCTGTTTCTGGATGGATGTTATTTAAGTGGGTCAGAAAGCAGCTATGGCTTTTGTTCCAGAGCAGGCTTCTTGGAAATAAACTGGTCTCATGTTTTGCTCTAGCAAGGCTGTTGTTGCAAGGGAAAAACTGTGTTTGATCACTTTTCAGAATTCTTGGGCAGAGAAAAATGGAGCGCTGGGTTTTGGAGTCTTCAGTGCTGTCTGCATTGGTTGTGGTCTTTCATCTGTTTTTTTCTGGTAATCCATTCTTTTCCCACTTTGGCTATCCAGGCTTCCTGAGGAGTGAGTGGAAGTGCCACTTGACAGTGCTGTCTACCTGGCAGTGGTCTAGGAGTTGCAGTTCTTAGTGGTACTTAGCATGAAGTCCAGGAACACCTCTTTTAGACATTTTATTTTCTTTTTATACTGCTGTTTGAATAGGGTAGCCTATTGGTTTACACTGAGTAACTTAATAATTGAAGATGTATGTTAATAGCACTAAAGAAAGATTTAGCGTGAAGCCACTGAGATCATCTTTTGAGTAGTAAACTGCCATAACTGGTAAAACCAGTCACATTTTTCCCACGCCAAGCTCTGCTGGAAGATGATGTGGCACTTAAATGCTGCCAGACCTTGGTCTGAGTTTACAAAGTTGTTTTTACTGTGACAGCTTCATAGGTGAAGCATTGTTATCTTCAGAAATTTCAAACCCTCTACTCAAAAAGAGTTAGATGTTGGTATTCTTCTAGAATAGAATTTGCCGCCTTCTTAATTGTGAAAGAATTGAGTGCCTTTTGTATAATGTCAATTTCGTCCATTGTGTTTGTGGGAACTGAGATTCAAATATGCAGGTTACTGAATGTTTGCAGGTTCAAGAAGACCAGTTATGACTGAATGGAAGGGAAAGGTTTCTTTTACCAGTTTTTGTTCCCTTTTTCTCTCTCCCCTCCTCCCCTGCCCCGATTATATTATTGAGGTGTGGAGGCAAAGTAAAATATCTGTTGAACCCTACTACAGGGTCTTTTCCCCCTTAGTGGAGTTTCAAGCCCACCCATCTTGCCGGTTCTCTGTTATCTATGCTCTCTACAGGGCTGCTAAATTGTTCTGATGGATTCCCAAGTAACCTTTTTCTGGAAGAAATGAATAATAACAGCTCTTTTCACTCTTCAACTAGTGTTGAAAGCTGTTGGTATGAGTTGGCAGAAAAAAATGTGCTAACATCTTAGCTAAACTAGAAGTCGAGAAATGTCCTCAAAGTCTCTTTTAAGACTTCTTGAAAAATCTCCTCCAACAGTGTTGCTCTGAAGGAGTTGATTCTTGATTTTTTGCCACTTCTCAAGCATAAAATCACTCTAAAGACAAAGTTATGCCATGTGATGCAGAAACATTAAAAATACAAAAGCCTGGAGAGTGAAGAATGTTAAGTAAAGAACCAGGCAATCAAGAACAATAGAAACGGATGACCTTTTAGGAGTTGCTAGTAGTAATAGCATCGGAGTAGTTTTTCCTGTGGCTATAATTAACCATGACAAACCCAGGGGCATTTTGACCAGTTACACATTTGCTTATGTCAGCCTTCGGGGCTGTCTGTTCTGGGCCACTGAAACAGTACTCTGGTCCATCTTGCATCGTTTTATAGGGATCACTGCTGCTCTAGAGACAGTCAGCTGGTGTGCCAGGATCTGGCAACAGTACTGCAACAGTTGAGTGGCCTGTGCAGCTATCAAGAATATACAGTCTGCATTGATCGTGGTGTTTACTCAAAGGGTGGTGAAAGAACATCACCCTATATTGTTGTTGCTGGGTATGCTAAAACTGTTTTGTTAATCTGATCTCTTATCCATGGATATAAAATGATCTCCTGAGGGAATCTAGTGAAAATTCTTTTCCTCTCTTCCTTCCCCTGCATTCTCCCCCTCAGGGTACAATGACATTGCTTCCCAGCTACTGCATGGATAAAAAGGGAGGAGGGAGGCAGAAACTTGAGAGTGTTGACTGTGTCAGCAGATAGGGTATCTAAATAAGAGAGCCATTAGTTTGAACTTCTAAAACCATATTTGTTCATACATGTGAAAAGAATTTCATGATTCTTTTTCATACATCCACTGCTTTTCTCACAGGTTCTACAAATGGAAGGATTCCTAAGATTAAGACTCTAGACTGATTACAGGTAGAATGTGTCATAAAGCCCATTTTCATGTTGTCTTTTATAACTTATGCACATCAGGTGTTCCATATGGCATTTTCTTTAGTAGTTTTCAGCTACTAAGTTTAAAAATACTGTTTTTTAAACTAAGAGAACAAATGTGTGTTACAAAACAATTTGATAGTCATTTCAGAGATATGAAACAGGTCTGCATATAGAATGGGATTAAATGCTGGGTAGCATATATCTCCAGCTTTGCTCATTTGTACAGTGAGATTGGACCTGCCACTCAACGACTTACTGTTCAGTAAATCTCACGCAGTACTCTACAATACTTACCTGGTTCTTTCCAAAGGACATTCACTTAGTGTTCTTCACAAACATGAGAGGAATACTAGGAGTCAAGTAAAAGATGCTGTGTGAGGGCAAAAACTGATACTATGTGCTGTTTGTATATTATTTCACAATAATCAGCTGAAAAATCAGTATAACCTGAAAAAAGAATTTAAAAATAATTTTATGTATAATTAAATATCTGTGTCTTTATGTAAATGATGAAGTGCATGCAAATTAACTTACCTAGAAAAGGCTATTGTTTGCTCATCAATCTTCTAACTATGAGCCTACCAGCATTTGTTTGAAATATTTTGTTCTGAGAATACATTACTGTGTAGTGACTGCATGTGCCATTCTTATCAGAGGTTTTGTGATAAACTGCTGGGTTTAGGCATTTGTTATTCAACTTTTTAAAAATCAAACAAACAAACCCAGCTTCAAGTGTTATTCCAATACATGTTATGCTCTAGGAAGGAGATTACTTATGCCTGTAAGCTTGACTTGATAGTCTTTGGAATAATATGACGGACATAGAGCAATGAATAGGCACAACGTTGTTTTTTTAGAGAGAAATGTTAATTCCTCTCTTGGTCTTTGCACTTTGTGGAAGCAAAACCAGGTTTAAAAAAATGGTGACATTGTGCCTAATTTTTTGTGTGTGTGTGTTGTTTAAAACTTACCTCTGACCACTTGAGGGCTGAAAATTAGTGCAGTTCAGATTAAGTTCTAGGTATAGGTGAGCAATAAATTTCCAATATACACATTTTCTCTGTTTATCTGCTACTGTCTTCTATTAACTTGTACGTATCGGAGTGGGGAACAGAAAAATAAAAGACTAAATGACCGCATAAGAAACAGGGCCCTGGATATCATTCTCTGTTTAGACTACACCAGGAAATTAAGCAGAATAATTTCCTATGTTAATTGTGTATTCTGAAAGATTAGAAGAATGATAATTGATTTTGGAATGAAGTAACTGTTAACAGTACTCTCTGCAGTAGCTCTTTGTCATCTGCCCTGCAAAGAGAGTATGAAGGGTCAGTGTAAAATTCAGTGAAAGACGGTTCATTGTATACTTAATGTCAGTAGCAGTAGTACTGATTTTGTTGTATATACTGTTTGCAGACAGGTGTCCAGGTAGCACTGTAAAATGACAAAAGAAGATCCAAAGCATCCAGATTTTTTTGTATCTTGTTCATGGTTTCTAATGGTGCAAGTCTTTAATCACACAG